CCAGATGAACGTAAGTCAGGTCAACTTCCTCACCTCTATCAATTCAGGTTCCAGATTCCAGCCCAACCCAGACTGGGTTGAAGGTGTATGATACATGCCTACACCCCGAGGCAAGGACGATCTGCAAAGATGCTTCAGACTTTCTTAAACTTCCTAGCAAGATTCGTACCAAAGCTTACTGAAATGGGCTCTATTGTTACATCCCATAGTGCTGTGAGCAAAACAAGAAGATAATCTTCCGAGGAACAGGACAATTTGGAAGCTGATGTGTTTCAGAAAGGCTTGGAGTATGCATCATGCAAGATGGCCCACCACCTGCATTTGGATCAAAAGCCTCTTGCACATGCAATCCAATTATTTCATAGTAGAGACTAGGCCCAGTATTCGATGTTACAAGATTCTATACAGACCTGTAAATGCACAGAGGTAGGGTTTTGATGTCCGTTAGATGCTTAGTGTCAAAATAGTTACCTTGGTAACCACCATATGGAGCAGATTATAAAATCTGAAGAAGAATGCAGAAATTCCACTAGACTTACAAAACAGACAACATGGACATCAGGATGGAAGATGTACTTACGGTTGACTTGACAAATTTTGATGAGCACAAATTTAACCAACTTCAGGAAGAAACAGCTAATGATCCATAACTGAAGATGCTATAGAAAGTTATCAGATGAATGGCTGACACAACATGCAAGGTGACAGACATTCGCAGATGCTTTTAGCCAGACAGAGATGAACTATTATTTCAAAAGCATAACCTTTGAAGGGAAACAATTGCTTGCATCCAAGGTTGGCAACATATTGTCACAGTTATATCAAGGACATATGGGCATGGAATGATGCCTGACACAGGATACTGTGTATTGATCAGGGGTCAACAATGATATCAAGAAGACAGTGAGGATAAGAGAGGTATGCTAGAGTCACCAACCAAATTAACACAAATAAACTCTATATCCTCAAAAGATTCTGTCATTCCCTCTGTCCAAAGTTGTAACAGATTAATTTACCATAAATGGTGATGAGTTTCTCCTCATGTGAACTACTTTTCCAATTATCAGAAAGTTGAAAGATAATTCAAATGTGTCTGTGGCAGATACAATGGGTGGAATTTTCCAGGCTTATCCAAATCTTTTGGAGGGGTGAGCGGGAAGAGGGAACTCAATTGGATGAGAAGCAAATTTCTGTTCCCTGATGGCAGATAAAATGTTTGCTATTAAGTTCTCAGAATTTTTCAGATAGATTAGATTTCCCAACTGTTAAGTAGCAGGAACAAATTTTGCATTCATTTGCATGTCATGAATATTCACTAATATGTAGATTACTGGAATTCATTTCAGGGCACAATCTTATGAGCCAAAACCAGGAAACATGTCTGTTAACAAACTTCGATTATATGTGCGAGATGTGAAATTGATAAGGCACACATCTTCCTCCGTTCTCCAATGGGCGCAAATGAATTCACTGAGTTGACTCCTTAAGAAAAAGTAACTTTTTTTGCCTATATGTTGACAGCATTGGGGTTGAAATGTCTCCATTTTGATCAGCTCATGAGAAGTCTCAGTTATAGGCAGTCTGGCTTGTTGTTACTAAACGTTTACAGAGTTAGAGGTTAAGCCTAATTGAGTTAACAATCCTGCTCAATTGAGACAGCCACACTGATTGAGGCTAATAAACCTGACCAGGTCAGGCAAGTGGGACTGAACTCAAAAGGGGCTTAACTCAAATGCATCTCATATTTAGCTTGGGAACGCTGCAGCCCAATGGTATCAATATGGACTTCACAAGCTTCAAAATCTCCCCTCCCCCAACCGCATCCCTAAACCAGCCCAGCTCATCCCCGCCTCCCTAACCTGTCCTTCCTCCCACCTATCCCCTCCTCTCACGTCAAGCCCCACCGCCATCTCCTACCTACCAGCCTCATCCCGCCCCCTTGACCTGTCGATCCTCCCTGGTCCAACCTAACCCCTCCCTAACTTCCCACCTACATTCACCGTTACTGGCTCCATCCCCGCCTCTTTGACCTGTCTGTCTCCTCTCCACCTATCTGCTCTTTTATCCATCTTCTATCCGCCTCCCCCTCTCTCCCTATTTATTTCAGAATCCCCTTCCCCTCCCCCATTTCTAAAGAAGGGTTCAGACCCGAAACCTCAGCTTTCCTGCTCCTCTGATGCTGCTTGGCCTGCTGTGTTCATCCAGCTCTACACCTTGTTATCTGTCTCTCAACTCAAATGGGCCATCTTTGTGGGTGTGTCCTTTTCTCAAGCAAGCCTTTAATGTAAGGCTATCAGTTGCATGTGTTGTCCTAGATGTGAAAATAGGTCTCTGAGCAAGAGCTGCTGAGTATTGCAGCTTTTGATGTTTTAAGCATGAACCCTGGCAGATATGGGAGAGACAGTACCACTGTGGTGCTACATTGGTTGGTGCAATGAAGTTAAACGCACTGATTGCGCAAGAGGCATCTGATGGAGATGTTTAACACTAAAACTTGAGTATAACAGTTATCTACAGCGTCAATCTTACAATGCTAACTCACACTCATAGGAGCATTAACCAGTGAATACACAGTGGTACATACCCTGATGGAACGCAGCAGATCATTCATCCTCTAGTGACACTAGAACAAGATTCTCTTGAGTCTCCCATGAGTGGTAACATCACAGTCACCTCTGCCCAGGCTTTTGTCTGTTGATTTGGCTTATTGCTTAACATCCACAGGGAAAATAATTTCCCTTCTCTCTAGGACAGCCTTCAAGAGAACTTATGCAGAGGTGTTGCTAAAGCATGGCATTGCCTTTACTTGTTCTCTGACATCTCCAATGGTGATGTTTAGTGGTTGAGTAATGGTTCTGGGTGGCAGAGAGTGAACTGCTGGCCAAACACCTTTCAAATATACGCCTGGAAGTTAAAAGCCCGAAAGGTCCCAATGGTGACCAGAACTTACTGCTCGTCCAATGCTACAATTTGGTTTTACCTTCCCCTGAATACTTCATGTGCTGAGAACAACATAGTCACACTCTGTCCACAGCAGACTTTGCTCCCACTTTTTTGTTTGCCCCCACACTCAGCCTCAGTATTCAGTACGTCTGAAGAGATCATATCAGACAATGGGCCACAATAAACTGCCAACGTTTTATAAATATGTGTACCAAATGGTGCATTAGCCATGTAACGGCCTCACCACATTACTCCAGATCCAATGGATTCACCAGGCAAATGGCTCGCACAGCTAAAACACTTATTATGAAAGGCAGGTTAAAGAAGCAGGGATTTTGTATTGCTACACTACACCTAATATGGATTTATCATCATCAGGAAAGATCATGGTTGGATGGCAATTTAAGACAACTTTCCCAAGCCAGGGAACCCAGTTACCCACAGAGCTATACAATGTATTCAGTGATGTAGGTCCTATTAAGTCACAACAATGAAGCAACACTGAGAAGGGGCACAAGCCAGCTCTGGGTACTGCACAGTATTTTAATTGTGCGTAGAATATACTCAAAGACACACTCACAAAATAGAGGTGAGGAAAACCAGCATAACAACAACCAACACTGCCAACACTCAGAGATCACAATGCAGTTGCAAGTCAAGAACATCAATGTGTGAAAGCTAGATCTCAGGAGGGTTATACTTTCACAGAATCTTAAATGAATTGTTAAAATATTAACACATTATATAAATTCTTAGACTCTTAAAATTTTCCATTCTTATTTTGGTGTAAAAATATTTGTGGCTACCCTGATTTCATGCTGTTATACTGCTTTAAGGGCTGAATATGTCAATGAGGTAGGGACCAGAATGAGACATTGTGACCAGCAGGAGTCGGAGTTGCAGCCTGTTAAAGTAAGGATGTGTCACCATATTTCTTTGTAACGTCCTCTAAGTATTGAACCTCTGTAATCATTCTGTTCTGATGAGAAAATTTATCTTAAACTTTCAAGTAAACTGAACCTAATTTGTTTACCCATCCTGCATGAAAGTGATAACTTTGCGTTGGGAAAACAACTCAATAACACAATACTAATTAGTGAGTTCTTAAACAATGTTTAAGAAAATAGAAGTATTACTTGCTTTAAGTTTTGTATGACAACACTTTGAGGTCAATAAACAGAGTTGTAATTCCATATGAAATAGCTGGAGAACGTCTTTTTATAACTAAGAATGCAGTATCTAGTGAACTACCTATCCTGTACAATTCCCTGGTTAAGTTCACTGATATCAATTAAGATGTCATGACACTAACACTTGAACAAGTTCTATTTTGACACAATGCTCACTCTCCCTGGTAACCTTTCCAATGCCAACAGATAATCTAATCATTATCTGATTGCCACTTGTGGGACCTTGTACTTGATTTGCCTGCTGCATTTTTAAAATTACTACACTTTAAAATGGTGACTACACTTTAAAAATGCTACATTGAATGCAAAGCATTTTGGCATGTCCTGAGGTTGTGAAGAGCAATAGCTGAAGATAAATCATTGCTTCATTTTGTCCAATTCTTTTAGTATTTGGTGCAGATAAGGCCAAACAAAATGGCATACACAAGCGGGTCCCTGATTTACAAACTTCCAACGTATGAACACTCGTACTTACGATCACAATCCTACACAGGGTGTCTTAATAATAATTTTAAAGATGTGACATATGAACATTTAATCATACTTCTGAACAGTTGTTTTGTATTTTCCTGTATTCTGTTCCGACTTGCATAGAAATCGACTTGTGAAAGAACTCAAGAATGGAACCCATTAACAACCCATACAAATGATTTCTTTAGACCTTGTGAAAGAAATTAAGAACAGAATTTTAAACTTGTTAATTATCTGACTAATGTTTTTAAACAGCTTTATTATGTTACAGAATAGCGGATTTGTATCCTTCAAGTGTTCTACTCTATTTTTTGAGCTGATGTCATGATAACCATTTCTGACACTTTCTTGGAGATCACATCCAGACCTGAATGTTACTTTTTCTTCACTAGAAAAATGAATAAAGGAGCCAAAGGAGTCACTGTGCTCGTAGTTGTGATACTATTGGCCCTCACCCTCTCCCTGGGCCTGTACTTTGGGCTGAAGGCCAGGGAAGTGCCAGCGTATTCCTTTGAGAGAGCTGCTATTGCTACAGATGCAGGGAGATGTTCAGAGATTGGCCGGTGAGTATCTGTTAAAGAGCCTTGGTTCACATTATCTGTCAGAGGAATAGTGGAAAACACAGGATACAGGCTGTCCAGCCAAACCAGTTCATGTTAATGATTATTCTTCACATGGCTTTTGTTTCTGATCTCATGTGGCCCTTTCGTATTTTATTACATCAACCAACTATCTAATCTCTTCTTAAATGATTATATGATCTTGGTGTTAGCTAATAACCCTGGTAATTCATTCCAGCAGTTTACAACCCACCATATTAAACAGTTTCTCCTGATCTTTTAGATTTATTTCTATCTGTCCTTCCATTCCAGATCCCACAATCACTGTTTATTCTGTCCCATCCCTTTATAACTGTAAACACCAATTACCTGAGGGGCATTATTTTATACAGCTAGTGGTTATGATCTGGAATGCATAGCCTGAAAGCATTCAAGCAGATTCAATATGAACCTTCAAAAAAGAATTGTATTTATAACTGAAGGGGAATAAATTGTAGAGCCACGGGAAAAGATCAGGATAATTGGCTAACTTGTTGAAAGTGCCAGAATAGGCACTAAGGGTAGAATGGCCTCAAATCATAAACTTTGTTCGACAGAACAGCAGTCCCAGTTTTTCAAAGATGCACTGTTCACCATTTATTGAAATTATATAAAACGAGCAACATAAATAAGTGAATGATATGACCAAATAATTTAACATATTTAGAATAGCTGAACAGATAATGTGTCAACACTGCAGCATCTGGGAGTTTCTGAATACGACTGTAATCCAGGAAAAATATGTCTGCTGCAACTGTTTGTTCAAACAGCTTCGGTTCAGACTTTATTAGCTGGAGGTTAAACTAAACACATTACGACACATCGGGAAGGGAAAAGTTACGCAGATTTTTTTGTATCAGAAGGCAGTCACATCTCTTAGGATCAAAAATGGAAATTGCTGGAAAAGTTCAACAGGCCTAACAGCATCTGTGGAGAGGAATCAGAGTAAACATTTTGGGTTGCGTGACCCTTCCTCAAAACTGTTCTGAGGAAATTGTGAGCAGTGGAAAGATGTGATATATCAAAGGGTAAACAAGGTGAGACAGGAAAATGGTAAAATGGGAATTGAAGGTTAGAGAATGGCAGGAAGGGGCAGAGAGAGAAAAAAAATCTGGGAATACACCAACAGTCAAGACTAGACATTACAACAAAAAGACAGAACTAAAGGCTCTGTAGCAAAATGTGCATAGAATTCATAAAAAAAAGTAATTGTGCATATTGAAGTAAATAAATGTCATCCGATACCATTCCAGAAATGTGGCTGCAGGATGACAAACATTAGATCCTGAATATCGCGGGTATAGTTAAGAATAATCAGAAAAGTTTGGTATTGGTGGAGAAACAGTACTGTTAACCAATGAAGGCATTGGTACAATAGTTAGAGATTACCTTGATTCAGGAGATCAGGGTGTAGAATCACCTTGGTGGAGATGAAGATTAGTGGGAGAAAGGAGTCAGTAGACAGAGTGGTTCCCACTTCCCACTTCCCCCAACCATAGCCATGATATAGGAAGAAGTAAGCAAGCAGAAATGTTGAGTGGTTGTGGTAAGGGGATAGCAATAGCCATGGGGTGACTTTAATATATATATACTGGAAAAATCAGATCTGGATAAGGAGTTCATGAAATATCTTTGAGATCATTTCCTAGCGGACCACATTCTGGATCCATCCGGAGAGCAGTTCAGATTAGACCTGGTGTTGTGTAATGTGACAAGATTAATTCCTCAAAGGGTAGAGTAAAGGCATTGTTAAGTAGCAACAATCATCATCTGATTAAATGTTACACCCAATTTGAAAGGGAGCTTCCAGTTGCCTGCCACTTTAACACGCCACCCTGTTCCTTGGCCAACACCTCTCTCTCAGGCTTGCTGCAGCGCTCCAGCGAAGCTCAGCGCAAGAGCTTCGCTGGAAGAACAGCAACTCGTTTTCCACTTAGGAACTCAACAGCCTTTTGGATTCAATATCGAGTTCAACAACTTTAGGGCTTGAGCTCTCCCATGTCCTTACCCAAACCCCCACACACCAGGCCGTGTTATCACATAGCCTGCCATTACACACAACCCATTGTTAGCCACTAACAGTCCCCATTATCAGCTATTCACTCTCCCAGCCAAATCGTTATCCACTCCTTTGTCTGTCCAACTGTCTTCTCTCTCTTTGTGCTTACATATCGTTTACACCTTACCCGCTGCCGCCACCCTATCTTCTGCATATTAACCAATATTTTCTTAGCTACCATCAATTCTGAGGAAGGGTCACCAGACCCAAAACGTTAACTCTGATTTCTCTTCCCAGATGCTGCCTGACCTGTTGAGCTTTTCCAGCAATTTCTATTTTTGTTTTTGAAAGGGGGAAGACTAATTTTTAAATTTAAATAAGGACAACCATGTGGGCATGAAAGCAGAGCTAGCATTCTAGACTGGGGATGGATCAATAGATATGCAATGGCAGACATTTCAGGGGATATTTAGAATATTCAGAATAAATGCATTCATACTGTAAAAAACAGTTCTAAAGGGAGGACCCACTATCTGTGATTAATTAAATAAGTTAGGGAAAGTATCACATAAAGGTAAAATCATATAACTGTACAGGATGAGCAGCAGATCAAATGATTGGTTAGAATGGGAGTTGGGACGTTGTGTTGCAGTTGTACACAACATTGGTTAGGCCAGTTTTGGAGTACTGTGTACAGTTTTGGTCACCCTGCCATAGGAAGGGTATTATTAAATTAGAGATGGTGAGGAAAAGATTTACCAGGATGTTGTTGGGACTGGAGGGTTTGAGTTATGAAATGAGGCTGGATAGGCTGGGTCTTCATTCATTGGAGCATATAGGAGGTTATAGAGGTTTATAAAATCATGAGGGGCACAGAAAAGGTGAATAGCAAGGGTATTCGTAGGGAAGTCCAAAACTGGAGGGCATAATTTTAAGGTGAGAGGTGAAAAATTTAAAAGGAACCTGAGAGGCAACTTTTTCACACAGAGGGTTATCATTATTTGGAATGCACTGCCAGAGGAAGTGGTAGATGCAGGTACAATTACAACATTTCAAAGACTTTTGGACAGGTACATGAACAAGAAAGGTTTAGAGGGATGTCAAATAAATGCAGGCAAATGGGACTAGTTCAGTTTGGGAAACGTGGTCGGCAGGGATGAATTGAACCTGTCTGACTCTGTGACTGTGATGTATTTAAAAGGAAAAGGATATGTAAAGTGAGTGTTTGTCCTGTATACAGCAACAATGGGAAGCTAATTGTAGATAATAAGGAAATGACAGCTGAAATGAGCAAATATTTTGATTCTATCTTCACTATAGAGGATCCAAAAAACATTCTAATAATAGCCATAAATCAGCAGGTGGAAGGGGGAGAGGAACTTAGTGAAATTACAGTCACCAGGAAAATAGTACGAAGCAAACTGCTGCAGCTGCAGAATGACAAGCCTCTGGATACATCTACATCCTGGTCTCTGAGAAGAAGTGGTGGATAAGATAATAGATGCACTGGTGTTGATTTTCCAAAACCTGTTAAATTCGGGAAAAGTTTCCATCAGACTGGCAAATAGTAAATATAACCAAGGAGGAGGAAACAGGTAACTGTGGGTTTATTAGCTTGACGGCTGTTGTGGGGAACATGTTAGCATCGATCACTAAAGAGGTTATAGGTGGAAATCTGAAACAAAAACAAAAATTGCTGGAGAAACAATTTGAGTCCAGTGATGAGGCTAGTAGGAAGGAGATGGGGGTGGGGCTTGAGGTGGGAGGAGTGGATAGGTGGGAGGAAGGACAGGTTAGGGAGGCGGGTACGAGCTGGGCTGGTTTTGGGATGAGGTCGGGGGCAGGGAGATTTTGAAGCTTCTAAAGTCCACATTGATACCATTGGGCTGTAGGTTTCCCAAGTGAAATATGAGGTGCTGTTCCTGCAACCTTCAGGTGGCATCGTTGTGGCACTGCTGGAGGCCCAGGATGGACATGTCATCCAAGGAGTAGGAGGGGGAGTTGAAATGGTTTGCGACTGGGAGGTGCAGTCGTTTGTCGCGAACCGAGCGTAGATGTTCCACAAAGCGGTTCCCAAGTCTCCGCTTGGTTTCCCCGATGTAGAGGAGGCCACAACGGGAACAGCAGATACAGTATACCACATTAGCAGATGTGCAGGTGAACATAAGAACATAAGAACTAGGAGCAGGAGTAGGCCGTCCGGCCCTGTGAGCCTGCTCCGCCATTCAATAAGATCATGGCTGATCTTTTCGTGAACTCAGATCCACTTACCCGCATTCTCACCGTATCCCTTAATTCCTTTATTGTTCAAAAAAAATCTACCTTATCTTTAAAAACGTTTACTGAAGTAGCTTCAACTACTTCACTGGGCAAGGAATTCCATAGATTTACAACCCTCTGGGTGAAGAAGTTCCTTCTCAATTCAGTCCTAAATCTGCTCCCTCTAATCTTGAGACTATGCCCTCTTGTCCTAGCTTCACCTGCCATTGGAAACATCCTCTCTACTTCTATCTTATCTATTCCCTTCGTAATTTTATATGTTTCTATAAGATCCCCCCTCAATCTTCTGAATTCCAATGAATATAATCCCAATCTACTCAGTCTCTCCTCATAAGCCAACCCCCTCAACTCCGGAATCAACCTAGTGAACCTCCTTTGCACCCCCTCCAGTGCCAGTACATCCTTTCTCAAGTAAGGAGACCAAAACTGCACACAGTGCTCCAGGTGTGGCCTCACCAGCACCTTGTACAGCTGCAACATAACCTCCCTGCTTTTAATCTCAATCCCTTTAGCAATGAAGGACAAAATTCCATTTGCCTTCCTAATTACTTGTTGTACCTGCAGACCTTCTGTGATTCATGCACAAGGACACCCAGGTCCCTCTGCATAGCAGCATGCTGCAACTTTTTACCATTCAAGTAATAATCCTTTTTACTATTACTCCTACCAAAATGCATGACTTCAC